TGTGGGCAAGCAACAGGAATGTGACCGCAGGCCCTTTGCAGTGGGCAGCCTCCAGGAACTGTGGAGCACGAGGGAGCAGATTTCTCATGAAGCAGGAAGGATTTTGGTCAGACAGTGGGAGAATTTCCTGGCTGCTAAAGTATCTTTTGTAGAGGTTGTAAGAGGTCTCAGGCTCTTGCCCAAGACTGGGGCATGCACAGCGTAACTCCTGAGAAGTATTTTAATCTCTGCGTGTTTATGCACTCATCTACCTGTGCTGGAGGTCCCGTTAATCCCAACTCCAGATCATCCAGATGGGGAAACTGAGCCCAAGAAAAGGGAAGGGACCTGGACTCTGAGATCTTAGACAGCATGACAAGGTCCCCCTCTGGACCAGGTCCAGCCTGGGGTGAGAGGCAGGGAGGGTTTGTCCTGAGCATGCTGCCCCCTGCCCCCCAAGAGGCAGTGTGAAGAGGCCCTGGATCCCTGGAGAAGGAAGCACTGGGTGTGGGGTGGAATGCAGATCCTTGTCCCTTGGCCCTGTGCCTTCACTCCCCTGAAGGGTCTGAAGGAGCCCATCAAGGGCCCAGGTATCCCCAGACCAGAGGCTTCCTGCAGAATGGCCTTGAGACCTGATTCACTCACATGTCACTCTCCAGCCAGCAGCCTGACTTCTGCCATCCTAGGGCCTTTGGTGCTCGCTGACTCTAGGCCCCCTCCTCACCCACTCCCCTGCTCCCGCCGCCTCCCCCCCTCCAAATCCTGAAGTGCACAGCACCACAGTCAGTACATTCACTCTGGAGAAGAGGGCCCAGGGCACTAGACCAGGGGTGGCGGGGGGGAGGGCAATTAGAGCTGGAGAGATGGAGGTGGTGAGGTCTGGAGAGGGGCCAGGCTTGCCCAGAGTCACGCAGAAAGTCTATAACCCAGTAGACTGAGAAGCCATCCTCCTGTCTACCTCCTGGGAGCAAAAGGCAGGACACTGGGTAAGCTGAGCAAGACCCTATGCCTGGTCTCCCAGTGGTCAGCCCTGTCCCCGAGAAGAAGAGGAGGGGTCCAGCATGAACTTGATAGATCGTAGAAGTTTAAGAGACTGAAAAACCAAGAAGCAGAGTAAGATCTATAAGACAATATCGTTTATATACTTTAAGAATACATACTCCTCTCTAACACATGGCAGATTTTATACAGAGACACAGATGTTTAACATGTGACTGAGGGTGGGATGAGAATGAAGGTAGAACAAACTCTTTTTTTACAAGGGTCTCATAAGACCAGTGAAAATGCTTTGTTTGCTCCAAACAGAAAATTATGATGACTTTAGTTTATCTATATTTATAGAAGAGGGGAGTCTCTGGAAAAAGTTCTCACTGGAATGCACTTCATACTTTGTGATAAGTCCAAGGGCTGGGTGACTCCAAATATTCCAGCAGTTCTGAGGGGTCTGTCCTTAGTCTTTCTCCCAAATCCCCACATTTGTAATAGTCTACAATGCTCCTTCCCCAGAGCTCTGCAGCTTACCTGCCCCTTTCAAAATGACTTTCCCAGGACCAGAGGTTCTCCTTGCCTTTTGAGTAAGTGTTACTCTGTCTCCAGGACCTTCCCCTGGAGATGGGGGGTGAATACAAGGTCTGGTTTGTAACTGGACTTCATCCTGTGTCGCCCACCCTGCTTGGAGGGCTTGACTATACTTATAAGTGAGGAACAGCAGACCAGTACCCCTATCTCTTCATCCACAAGCCCCCACCCCTGCTCTCAAGCCTTCCCTTATCACATAGCCTAGCCCCACCACCAGCCCCTAGGAAGGGGTTCAGCGTCCAAGCCCGCAGGCCTGGCTGCAGAAGGAGACAGGCCCCTTTTGGGAAAACACACCAGCCAAGGGAGTGGGCCGCCTGTTCCCGGGGACCTTGGCAGGAGACTGATCTCCTGAGGCTGCTTTCTTTTCCAGCATCTTCTCCCAGACAATGAGGGTGTGACAGGGTGGAGCATGCCTGGGGGAGCCTGTTACGGCAGTCACAGGAGCCCTGTGATTGTCAAAGATGTGGAACAAAAGAAAGGTAAAATGGAGTGATTTCATTTAAGTTCTAGGAAAGACATAATTAATATAGAGTGATTAAAAGGCCAATGAAATGGTTCCCTGGGGTGGGGGAAGTAAGAACGAAGCAGGATTTACTGGGAAGGGTTAGGAGGGAATTTTCAGCGCTGATGGAAATAATCCATAGCCTAATTGTGTGGCAGTTACATGGGGTTTACATTTGTGGAAACTTTTCAATCTGTATAACTAAAATCTGTGTATTTCTGACTGTGTGTAGATTAGACTTTTAAAAGTTTATTTTTATAAAAATAAGAATGACAAGAGGAGTCCAGGGGTGGGGGTGGGGCCCTAGATCTCCTCCTGGACAGTACCGACTCACTGTGTGACTGGGGGAAATTCATCGCCCTCTCTGAGCTGCAGTTCCCTCCAGTACCTCCTTGTCTCTCAGGGAAAGGTGTGGAGCACACTCCTGGATGACTAGAATAGTGAAGTCTGAGCCGCTAACTGTTCAAGATGCCTGTTGACAGAAACTGAGGTGGAGGGCAGTCAGTCAGCCACGCAGCACAGTGGCTTGCCCCTCTGAGAGGTGAGAAGAGCCCTGCCCTCAGAGAGCACACAGTCTGGTATGGCATACACATAGGTAAATTATGGTGAAATCTGATTATAGATTACTACAGACCTAGAGATAAGATATGAGATGGATGTGTAGGCTGTCAATCAGGGAAGATTTCCCGGAGCAGGAGGCACCCTCCTCAACCTGAGATTTTTCAACAGTAAGAGGAAGATCATCTATGGGGCAAGCCACAGATTGTGAGCAGCTGAAGGGTCTGTTCTTGTCTTTCTCCCAAATCCCCACATTTGTAGTAGTCTACAAGTGCTCCTCCCCCATAGCTCTGGAGCTAACCAAAAAACCATCCTACTCAGTTATAATCCAAAAGGATCAGTGATGTCAAAGCAACTCTGTTAAGGTTTTGTTTTTTAAGTACTAAGATTTAGTCTATAAACAGGACAAAGAGCAATGATTCTGAGGTCCAGAGTTGTTGATAGTTATCAGACCTCAGTGTGTGGTCAGGAGTAGGGCTCAGTATGGGACCAGGGTCAGGGCTCAGTGTGTGTCCAGGGTCAGGGCTCAGTGTGTGTCCAGAGTCGGGGCTCTGTCAGAGGCCAGGAATGGCACTGACCCTCGCTGGCCTTGAATACCCCTGGCCTTTTACTCAATTGGCTCTTCTCACTTCCCTAAGCTACAGAGCCAACTCATGGAATGGCCTAGAGAGGAAGGGTCGGGCCAGAAAAGCTTTGTGGAGCCATCTGTGCAGTGTTTATTGAAACCGGTCCTGGGGTGGGAGAGGCAGGCTGTCTGGTGCCAAATACTGGGTCTCTTGAGGCTACAGGCCCTGCTGACCCACCCCCTCATATTCCTGAGGGCAAGGCATAGCAATGGGGATGGGGACTACTCCTGACTTCCTCATCTCCCTCCCAGAGGCTTCTGGGGACCCAAAAGTCAGAAACAGCTTGGTACCAAGGTGGCCCCTTGCTTTTGAGGACCTGAGGATCCCTCGGGAAATGACTGCAGGCATTCCTGAGGACTTGAGTAATAGGATCTAGGCTGGCCAAGAGGGCCCCCATCAGCCAGGAGCCACCTCATCTGCACCCACCCTGTACTCTAAGCTTCCTCTTCATTCCCAGTAGGTGAGGTCATAGTGGCTGCCTAGACTAGGCTCTCTCATGAGACATGGGCCCCAGGGCAAGCAGGGCTGGGGCCTGTGCATGAGAGGAGTGGGGTACAGGCAGACCCCTTTGTCAAAGGCTTAGAAGCCTTTTCTCTGCCTTACTTTCTGAGCCTGAAAGCTGATAAGAGAGTTTTGGCAGGAAGAAGAGGGGGCTGGAAGCCTGTCTGTATGACTCAAGTCCTCCCACCTTGCTTGCCCCTGAAGAGCAGAAAACTTGAAAGAAGCAAAGAGGAACTTACAGCATTGCTGCATGGTCTATATGCCAGAGTCCCTGGATCTTGAGAGGGGAGGGGGCAGCAAGGCCCCTGGGCCTATTCCCCAAGTCTGTGGTGGAGCTGGAATGGAGACCAAGTCTGGAGTCTCTGCCCACCTCCCACAGTCCCAGCATCAAGACCAGTCCTTCTCTACTGCAAATGTGGATAGGCTCTGGATAGCTGAGTTTGGTTTCTACTTATTCCCAATAATGCATACTAGGACTGACTCACGCACAGAGGGAGGAGGGCAGGAGGCACAGACTCCTGCTTCTAGCTGGTCCTGGCTGGGGAACAAGTGATCCCGGGCTGGAGCTACCCCCAGGCCTCTGGAATAGACCCAGGGCCCTGAGGGGAAGAAAGGCATTTTGAGAGGGTCAGGCTGGATGCCCAGTCTGAGATTCCTGGCTGGTCAGCAGCCTGCTCTGCAGAGACTGCTGGCCCATCCCTGCCAAACAACCTTCGCTGCACCAGTCAACATTTACCTGACTCTGCCCATGAGCCTCCTGGGACCCACCAGGGCCAGAAGCCCAGGGCTCACTTGGTGGCTCATGGAGCTGCAGGGTGAGGGGAGCAGAGAGCACATGTGGCCTGATGCCCAGAGACCTGGGGAGCAGGGACATGGAAGAGTGTGTGTCTGTCAGGATACTACTTGGTTCATTCACTCCTGCCTCCTGGTTCTTGTTCTTCCCATGGTCCCCTGCCATGACCCTTTCCTCTTTGGCTCTCAGGACATTCTGCCCTATCTCCCAGATCTTCCTCATTCCCAGCTTCTCCAGAAAGAGGAGCTGGTCCTGCAGTGTGGACCTTCCAAGGCGAGCTTCTGCTCCCCAACTTCTCTGACCCCACCCCTGAGCTCAGGGAGAATAGTTCGAATTATACACCCAGTTGAGGAAGCCAGGTTTTGGGGGTTGGGAAGGCCTCTGGGCATTAGCCGTGGCCCTCCTGACCCTCACTACACTACTTCCTTCCTCCCTCCTCCTTCTCTCCTACTGCCCTCCTCAGGTCTCCCTGACTTGATTCCGGACCCCAACTATGTGCAAGCATCCACTTACGTCCAGAGAGCCCATCTGTATTCCTTGCGGTGTGCTGCAGAAGAGAAGTGTCTGGCCAGGTAAGCAACTGGGGACAAGGTGCAAAGCACTAGGACTGTCCCAGGAGCCACCCGGACCTGTGCTCATGCCAGCCAGGGCTTTCAGGACCTTGCTGTCTTCACCATGTGCCTTGCCTGTCCCAAGGGAGTCAGGACGGGCAGGGAAAAAGCAGTACCCAGCATTTCTCTATATGGCATTTACCAGGGACTTGACTTAGTCTGGCTGTCATCTTCACTCCAGCTTAGAGGCACATGCTGCCCCATGAGAGGAAATGAAACTTTCCATTCTGAGCTGCCTCTTGCATAGGTTCCTCTGGGTCCCTCAAGGACCCAGAAAGTCCTGGGTGGACAAATCAGCCTTCAGGATAGAGGGCACAATTAGGGACCCATCCCCAGAGAGGAGAGCCGTGACTTTGGCTGTCTCTGGGGCAGTGGTCATGGGTGACAAAGAAGCCTCAGTTGTGTCGCACAAGAGGGAGGGGAAGGGACACAGAAGGTGAGGATGATTCCCCTCCATTATCCCTGGGCGATTCTGTCTCCTGCAGCACTTGTTTCTGATTTCATGACCAGAGACTATTCTGTTGAAATATCTGTATATTGGGAACTTGTCCCTCTACTAACAGAGCTAATCAAAGATACATCAACTTAATACTTTTCTCTTTTTTTGGTTGACATCCCTTTATTGAAAGCACCTATTTTTCTCAATTACTTGCCTTTTTTTTTGATGCTGAACACTATTTACTTTTACTTTTTGGTATCTTGGAAACCTTTAGAATCTCAATAGTATCTCACTTACAGAACCTCTAGTCCACCATCACTCACAGCAACTGACCACTAACTGTCTCTCTTGCTAATGGGATAAGGAGCGCGAACCAGAATGTAACTCAGCTCACTGCTTCCTTCATTGAGAAGGTCTTGCTTCAAAATAAAAAGTCTCAGCTGAATTAAACAGTGTGATTAGTGACTGACATTCTGGTGCCAGTTGCTTATCTCATTACAGACTGGCAACGGTGTGCAAGCTGCCAGGCGTCAGGGACCACACGCTGACTACCACTCAGGCAGCCTGCCCCTTGTGGTCTGGTCTGGTTTTGTTGCATTTGTACCTGGGAAGACAGGGACTGTCCCTGGGTGTCGCCTTCACTCGGGCCCTGCTGGCACATGCTGCCCCTTCATGATAGAGAAGTAATGAGAGGAAATAAAACCTTTCTGTTCTGAGCTGCCTCTTTTAAAGGTTCCTCTGGGTCCCACAAGGATATATGTCCCTTAATATTAGCTCCTGCCATCATTTCTCTAGCAATGAGGTACCGCAAGCTCCAAGGCTGAGTTTGGAGGCATTTGAGTGAAAGCCACACTATTGCTCCACCTTTATGGGGCATTTGTGTGCCCAGACCTGAGCTCCAGGATGGCCTGGAGAAGGCAGCTCCATCATAGGGGGTCTCCTGGGCTAGCTGGAAAGAGTGACCCCTCACCCATGCCCTAGAATGATTCACATATGGAGCTGTGGAGGCCAGAGGGAGAGGTCGGCTAGGGCCGAGGCATCAGAGCACGGGATGCAGACAGAACTGAGCTCTGGAGTGCAGAGCCCTCCAACATCATTGAAAGTGTGGGCTGCAGACCAGGGCCAGGTCACAGACTGCAGGCAGAGCCCAGACAAGGGAAGGGACGTGCTCCAAGTCTCACCGCGTGTTTGCGGCCAAGCTGGGCCTAGAACCTAGACCCTGATGGTTTCCCACGGTGTGCTGAGCTGAACAGAAGGGCAGGATTTAGCTGAACAGAGAGAGGGAGGATGTTTTGTTCCAACCCAGACACAAACAGATTCCAAGCCTCCCCCAGACAAGGCCAAGAGCCTTACGTCCTGGCAGACAGGAGCCTGGCTGCCTGTTGTCCAGACAGCCTCTCAGAGAGAGCGAGCTAATCCCCACAACTGGCCACCTCCTGCCTCTGGCCTTAGGACACAGACCTTAATGAGTGCCAGGGAAGTGCCCCTGAGGTCAGCCAGGACAGCTGTGCGCAGTCAGTCCTCACAGTACAGCTGCTGTGTGTGTGTGTGTGTGTGTGTGTGTATGTGTCCCACTGCCACAGTTGAGAATTGGGTGTCACAAAGTGAATTGCGAGCAGGCTGAACCAGACCCATGACCTGTGCTCCCTGAATAGAGAAAGGCGGGCCACTGGCCCTATAGCCACACAATCAGGGAGAGGTGGCCTGGTCACACCAACCTAACTCTGGGTGTGGACGGTAACTGATACGCTGTTAGAGCTCATAGGCAGTTGACTCCTCTCAATGGGGAAATCAGGACAGGCTTCCTGGAGGAGGGGATCTGAGTTGACCTCAAAGGCTGGATTAGGTGAACAGTCAGGTAAACTATTCTGGGTCAGGTGAACAGCATGGGCAAAAGTATGGATTAGCAAAAGGGTTAAAGCTGTTTGGGAAACAACATTTGTAACAGAACCAAGAGTATGTGTGGGAGCAGCAGAACAGACATGACCAGAAAAAGGAAGAGGTTTCGACATTGAAGAGTCAGAACCTGGTTCTTAGGTCCATGCCTGAGACATGACCAACATGTCTTTGGTCAACAATTAGGACTCTGCCTGCAGGAGGGAAGACTCATCAGGATCTTCTGCATAGGGCCACTTTTTAAATGCCCTTCAAAGAGTTTGCTATGCCCCCAGACCCAGGGAGGCCTATGCCTCTGCCGCAATGCAGGTCAGATGTGTGGGTCCTCAGGGGCCATTACAGGTATTGGTTTCATGGTACCTAGCCCCACTTGCTTCTCCCCATCTGTCTCTGCAGCACAGCATATGCCCCCGAAGCCACTGACTATGACGTGCGGGTACTACTGCGCTTCCCCCAGCGTGTGAAGAACCAGGGCACAGCGGACTTCCTCCCGAACCGGCCGAAGCACACCTGGGAGTGGCACAGCTGCCACCAGTGAGTGGGGTGCCCTGCCTCTGCGGCCCTCCTGGGGGCCAGGGGCCTGCTGCCTGAGCTCCCCTCACCCAGTAGCACCCTGAGAGAGGCAGGTGCTGATGGGAGGACCCTGGTGAGGTGTTTCTGCCAAGGATCCTTCATGAGGGCAAGAAGTTCTCAGAGGAGCCTTAGCAGAAGCTGGACTAGAAGATGGGGCATGGAATGGTTGGCCTCGATAAGGGACAGACATGTCTAGAATACAGGGCATTGTATTAGAGGGAGGTCTGTGCAGGTGGGAGCTCAATAGGAAATGAGGAGTCCTGAGGAGGTGTTCTGCCAGGGTGACCTGGCTAGGTGAGGACAACAAAGATGCCTCCCTGGAAGGGCACAGGGCACCACAGATTCACAAGAGCCCTGACTGGTCAGGAGGCTAGGTCACAGCAGGCTCAGCAAGGCCTGTCTTGGGGGACCGAAGGGGAAGCTCGGAGGGTGACCTCTTCTCCCTCCTGCAGACATTACCACAGCATGGACGAGTTCAGCCACTACGACCTGCTGGATGCAGCCACAGGCAAGAAGGTGGCCGAGGGCCACAAGGCCAGCTTCTGCCTGGAGGACAGCACCTGCGACTTCGGCAACCTCAAGCGCTATGCATGCACCTCTCACACGCAGGTTGGGCCAGAGAGGCAGGGCGTGGGCACAGGAGTCTGGAAGTGGGGAACAGAGAGCTCCTTTCTGGGTGACATGAAGATGGGCTGCTGCCAAGGCTCCTGACTGCTCAGCTCTGTGGGTCCTCTTACCAATCCCCAGCACCACAGGTCCCTTGGTGACTGCCTCTCCCTGCCCAGGCCCCTTCCTACATCCTGCCCAGGGGTGTCTGCCAGTGGAAGAAACATTCTGATGAAGTCCAATTGGCATCGTGTTCCCTTTGCCTGTTTGTCCATCCAAATCCACCTTCATCTGTCCAAGCATCCACAGAGGGTCCATCTGTCCTGCCTTTTTATCTTTTCTGCCATCCCGTTCTCTCCCAGGCACACTCCCCTTCATTTCACATCCCCTCAATCTGGATATTATATTTCTGCATCTCTGGTCCATACATCTTGTGGGCTTTGAGGGAAGACAGGCCCAATCTGGGCAGCTACCCGGGGCCTGCCTCAGGGCAAAGCACAGAGAGGGAGGGTGGGCCTGGGGTGTCCCTGGGAGTGCATAGCACCCCAACCTCTACTCCTATTCCTGTTCTCAGGGCCTGAGCCCAGGGTGCTATGATACTTATAATGCGGACATCGACTGCCAGTGGATCGACATAACTGATGTGCAGCCTGGGAACTACATCCTGAAGGTGGGCCTCCTGATCTGGGGCACTCCCTCCCACTTCCCATTGGTGTTCCTCAGCTCTGAGATAGCTTCAGCCTCTGGGCATGTTCCCACCTACCCAGCAGACTTGCCTCTGTGATGCTGGAGGAGGTGGAGACTCATGTGTCCTAAGTAAAAGAGGACTTGGAGAGCCATTTGATCCATCCCCTTGGCTGCGGGCAGGGGAGTTCCTGTGCCATCTGGGAGAGGACGCCCTTCCAGAGATAGAGACTCTGCTACTCGCAGTGACCCCCACAAAGCAGAGGGTGCCTATGCCCTGGAGTCCCTTTTAGCCTGAGTGTCCACTCATTCCAGTTATGGAGTGAGTGTTTCATTGCTATGTTTCCATTGCTGTTTCCTTGATCAGTAACTCAACCTCTCTGACCCAGAATGCTGGGTGCAGGGCCCACCTCACCTGGGGCCTGGCTCTGGGAAAGCTTCCTAACTTCTGATAAGGGTGATCTGATGATGGTTTCTGTGACCACCAGCTTTCTGCATCTCCCCACATCTGTCCATTAGCGTATCTTTGCGCCTTGCCTCTTGGTCTCCCACCATCTTTTTCCATCTCTCTCTCTCCTCACCTCTGTGTCCCATCTCTATCTGCTTCTCCACTCACTTCCCTGGTAGCTAAGTGAGATGCAGTCCTCTGACCCCCGCCCCCTGCCCCATCTGTTTCCCTTCTTCTTCAGGTGCACGTTAATCCGAAGTACATTGTTTTGGAGTCTGACTTCACCAACAACGTGGTGAGATGCAACATCCATTACACAGGTCGCTACGTTTCTACTACAAACTGCAAAATTGTCCAGTAAGTGTTTTCCCTGCACCTCCCTGCCCTGTCCCAGTCCTACCTAGAGAACAAGCAGGAGGTTGTGAAATGCAGACAAGGCTGCACTGGGGGGCGTGGGTGGGGTCCTTTGATGGTCAGACAGGGCTGTGGTAGGAACCGCCCACTGACTCAATGGGAAGAGTCTTGTGCCAACCCCCACCTCTCCCTCCATACACCCAGGCCCAGCTGAGTCCTCATGGGGCGGAGGCTCCAGTGTTGCTCTGAGGGCTTTCTTTCTCAAGTGGAAACCAGCAGGCAGAGTCAGGGGGGAGTGTGTGGGCTGTGCAGTCCCCCTCTGTGACCTCCTCGCTCTGAGACACTTCACCTCTCTGAACTACTTTCTTCAGCTATAAAATAGGCACGTCCCACACAGCCTGTGAGGAGCTTTAGAGGCCAGCGTGCTGCATGCTGGAGAGCCTCACAGGGATGCTGACTGAATGGCAGTTGCCTGAGTCTCTCCTGCTCAAGTACACAGGATTCCACAGTCGCAGATTAGAACCAGTGGTTCTGGTTGGAGTGTGCTGATCCCTAGACCCTACTGTGGAAGAAGCTGATAAACTCTGGACCAAGGCCTCTGGGCAGGGTCCTCAGCTGCAGCTGCCCCCCAGGCTGTCCCCAGTCTCTCCTGACCCCCCATATGAACTACTTTGCGAAGGAGCACCCCTACTTACAAATCACAAAGAAACCCCAATCCACCCACTCTGTATGAATTGAAAACATTTCTCAGGTCAAAGCAATTCTTTTCCATTAAAAAGAAGAAAAAAGAAAAAGAGTAACCCTTAGAGCTTTATAGTACAACAGTTGGGGGACAAACAGCAGGGCTACCAAGGCTCGGAAAGGCATCTTTCTCCAAAAATATATGTTTATTAATTGAAAGTGCGAGAGGTTTAGTGACCAGGGTCAGGACTGAATGTGAGCAGCGTCAGGGCTCAGGGTGTGAGCAGGGTCAGGCTCCGTGTGTGAGCCAGCAGGGTCAGGACTCATTTAGAGACAGCCCTTTCACCGTTGGCTGCTATCAGTAAGCTAACTGTTCATAAGGCCCCCCCAGCACTGTGAATATTGAAAAGAAGAACATTTCAACACAGAGATCAGTTTTGTCATAAGTTGAGTTGGACCTGAATTATTTAGCTCAGAGTGTGTTTGAAAGGACTGACTCCTACCCTGTCCCTGGCAACTTAGCTCTTGTGCTAAACTGGGTTTCCAGTATTTTCCTACTCCTCATGGCCTGGTTTAATCAGTCATTCAAGATCCAGGGATAATCTAAATGGTAGAGGTTTCCTGGGAAGCAATTCTAGGGGAGGAGAATGAAGAAGTAAGTAAGGGACATACAAGAAAAAACAGGAGGGGGGGTGCAGGGAGGCAGGGAGGTGGTAGATTGAAACAATTTCTCATTTCCCAGGCGGCACTGGGAGCTGGGCCCCTCATCAGAGCAGACAGAGAAGCAGCCCCAAACCCCAACCCCTCCACCTCCCCCTGGGACCTGTGGGCGGCAGGGAAAGCCAAGCCCTTCCTTCCCACCCTTTATGTAAGTGCTTGGAATGGCTCAGGTCTTATTGGAGGTCTCTGCCACCCTGTCCACAGGCGGATGGCTGGGCCAACACACAGGAAGCCGCAGGGAGCGTTCCCAGAAAGGCCCGGGACTGATGCCTATGGATTCTGATCATGTTTCTGAAGAGGAAAAAGGAGACTTTTGGAAAAAATACTGAGTTAGAAACTCAGAGTGATGGATTAAGACAGAAGAAAGTCTTCCTAGACAGTAGCAGCTCTGCTTAAGGGCCTAGAAAACAAGGCTCCCTGGGGAGCCTGTGCTGAGAGCCTTCAGGGCCCTAAGTGGGAGTTCCTGAAACCCCTGCCTTGGAGCTGGGCCCCTCCTCTGAACCCAAGTTACAGACAGAAAGGGGAGGGGCCCAGGCCTGCCCTCCCAAGCTGGCTATGGGAGGGGAACTCTCAGCATGCAGATAGTACAAGAAGGGGAGGCAATGGGCCTGCAGGAGCCAGTGGGGGGCGGGGGCAGGAGGGAATGGTGGTGAAAAAATTTACCTGAGACAGAGTGGAGGGCAGAGAAGGCTGATTTATTGAACACACTGCTGAGGGACTCCGTGGTCAAGAGGGGAGTGTTCATTTGCTCCAAGAAAGAGCTGAAAGAATTTCATGAAATACCAGAATGACGTCAGCAACAAAGTTTATTAGGAAGCCATAGGACAGAACACTTTGAGGGGTGGTGGGCAGTCTCAGAAAGGGGTGCTGCCCTGAGCAGTAAAGCAGTGGGCTTTTTAAGTTTTTTTCCTTGGGGAAAAAACTGAGTGGGGAGGAGTCCCTTTTACTCCCAGCACTCCTGATTCCAGACTCTCTGGAACTACTCCCTCCCTCTTTTCCAGTTGTGGTGGTGGGGGAACTAGTTAAAAGACTCTATCCAGGCTCCCAGGCCTGCCAAGCCTTTTGGTCCTCAAAACAAAGCAATAGTCCCAGCTGGACTGTGGGATGGCAGACATGCAGCTGCGCTTCTCTGGGGGCGCGTGAGAGACCTTTTCCATCTCTAACACTGCCCCACAGCCCCACTGACTGGCTCTCTGCTCTCTTCTTTCCTCAGATCCTGATCTTGGAGAGGATGGACTCATGGCCAATTTCCCTCCTTCTCAAAGCAGGCCCTGCCCCCAGGCAGCCTCCCACCAGGACCAACCTAGTCCAAGGGGCCCAGCCCCCCAATCCACAGGCCAGGGCAGCTGGACACCAGGGACATCCCTCCCTGCCCACCTCAGGGTGGCCTCAGGGTGCGAACCTGGACCAAAACCACAGGGATTCCAAATGCCGGGCCCCATTTTGTACTTAACTTTTCTCTACAATGTTATTTTGTCAGTTGTTGGTTTTTATTTTTTATACTTTGGCCATACCACAAAGCAAGATCACCCGGGTCTGGGCTGAATAAAACAAGGGTTTTCTACTCTGTGGTTCTGCACTTGGCCTGCTGGCTGGGTGGCTCAGAATTACTTCAGCTCAGGACGCCCCTGGGCAGCACCCCTCCCCCAGAAGAAACTGGAGAGCTCAGCCGCCACCCTGTTAGAACCACGGCTTGAGTGAGGGCCCCGTACCCACTGTGGAAGAGACGGAGTCCCAGGGGGAAGGGGTACAGGGCCTCAGGCTCTCACCCTCCTCTTTCTCTCATGCACTTTCTATACCAGCCGCTGACTCCCTTACTCCCATCCTAGCACCTACTGAATGCCAGGCCTGTGCTGGAGCTGAGCACACACGGGAGTATCAGACACAGGTCCTGCTCTTAGGGAGGTCCAGGGAACAGAGGGGGTGCAGTTCACAATGCCAACACCACACCTTGTGGGACAGCTCCAGGGGCAGTGGCTTAACATTCATGTGGGACATGGCCTCTCTCCAGGAAGGGCAAGTATATATACTTGGCAGAGGCTGATAGGGTGGGAGTGGGAGATAGAACCCCCTCCCCCAGCATTCCCAGGGCTCCCACAGCCCTGTGTCTCCTGCCCTGGCACATGGTAGGTGCTGTGACGCTGCCACCCTCCATCTGGGGTTGGGCTAGGAGGAATGAGGAGGAATCCTGTCCTTGGGGGTGACTATTTCTCTGCACCCCTCACGCATATATGCCTTAGAGAGGTTGTCCTGACTCCGGCCCTACCCCTCTCCATTTTAGGGGCCCTAGGAGTGGGCAAGGGAGGGCTCAGACAAGGCTACCAAATTCCAGAGAGAAGGTAGAGTCAAAGTCCCCAAGTCCCAGCTGAGAGAGTTGAAACCCAGAATGGGAGCCATCTCAGGCCACAGGTGAGTCGGGACAGACACAGTGCTGGGGCCCTTGCTTTAAGTCCAGGCCAGAGCCAGATGCCAGGTGTGTGCACGGTGCCTGGCAGATCTGTGTCTAGCAGATGCCCCAGGAAATAGGGGAAGGGGACAGTGCCTCCTAAAAGAAGCACATTATAAACTGTGAGGAGTGGGGAGAGCTCACAAACATGGAGACCCCCAGGCCTGGTGTTCAAGTGTACACACAGACTAGCCTGGAGTTTGGCTCACCTGGGGCTGGTGTACATCCCCAGGGGGGCGACACCTGGGCCAGTCCCCACACACTGTTGGGGCCCTGGGAGATGCAGACTGCTGGAGAGGGACTTCAGGGCCTGTCCTTCCCCCCAAAAGAGAGAAGACAGCATGTGCTGTGACCCTGGGCAGCCTCACCTCTGGGAAGGCCTGTCTCAGTCTGAAATTGCCCTAAGAGTGCAGCCTCTTAGCACTGCCTTGGTAGTGAAAACCCCTCTGGAAGGGAGAAGCGGCCACCTCCCTTCTTGGTGGGGCTTCTGTGGTACTTTGCCTTCATATAGAATGGTGGAGTCTGTGCTCTGTGAGTGGGGAGAGAAAAGGTATACAGATGGCAAGGGTCTGGCTGGCATGTGAAAGTCAGAAGGCAGGAATGGGGAGGCCTGAGAAAGAGGTTCTCTCTTGACCTCTGCCTTGGCCTCTTGGAAGTCTCTCTGGCTATGTCACAGTCCAGAGGAACAGCCTGATACCCCTCAACCATCTTCCTTGTCCCCTAAAACTTGGAGGCACTGTGTGGCACACCTGACTTCTCACCCCCACTCCTGCCAAGGACACCCATGGGAGTGGGAGGAGGCACCCATGCCCGATACACATTGGTTCCATTCCTGGCTCCTGGCACCGTGTTCATGGGGCAGAGACTGCCTGGCTTTGGAGGGACTGGAGGGTAGGAGTGAGTAAGACCACAGCAGGAGTTCCTTGAACCATGCCTTTACCAAAGGAGCGTTATTCCTTGATAGGTGCTCGCCAAGAAAACAGGACGGGATTTGCCTGGTCAGGGTCCTTGATACCAATCAGCATCCCTCTTGGTCCATGGCAGTGCCTGCGCGCCCCAGCTAAGCTTGGTACCCAGTACCGGAGAGCCTTCCAGAGGGGAAGGTGGGAGCTAGGTAGGCACAGCTAGCTAGGTAGTAGGTGGAACATCTCCACTCTTGC